CCTTGTGCAAATGTACACTTACTATACTTTTTTATCCCTTGAACCGTTTTCCTTATGTATTCTTTCTTATGACAGGTTCATTGCGATCTGTTTCCCTTTAAGACATGAGTCTATAAACACAAACACCAGAATGGCTTATATAATCAGTGCAGTTTGGTTCTTTTCTATTGTTATAATTCTCTATGCTGTTACATCCATCCCAACCCTGTCCTTTTGTGGCTCTCTTGAGGTCCACAGCTATTTTTGCGATTATGCTCCTGTTTTAGTACTTTCTTGTGGTGATACAACATCCCAGTGGAACTATGCCACTGCTTTAACTATGCTCTTCATTACTTTACCTTTGATTTTTATTTTCTTGACCTACATGGGTATACTGACTGCTGTATTCAGAATGAAAAATAATCAGAGCCGTTATAAGGCGCTGACCACGTGCACAGAGCACCTCATATTAGTGGCCCTTTTCTTCATTCCTATTGTAATCATCTTCTGTTTTACATTTTTTGGAATTATTTGGAACCCCAATGTAGGTCTGGTGAGCTTGTGTCTGTCATCCCTCCTCACACCTTGTGTGAATCCCATCCTCTACTCACTGAAAACTAAAGAGATTCGAAGCAGGATTCATTCTTTGTTAACCCAGAGACTGTCTGTTCATCCTCTAAGAAATGTACATTAATGTAGAACATAACTGTGGTTCAAGTGTAAAGTGCTGAGAATATTTATAATGTTGTCTTGGAGGCTTTCTGTAATGCTTTTGTGAAGGTATTATACTGTGTTTATATTAAAATGCATTGTTTTTCAACAAAATCTTTCTCTGCAGTTATCTTGTAAATACTAACATACTTTTAACACTGATTTGTACTATTTAATTATAAAGAGCACAATACATGTTTTCTTTCTTTGTGCAACCTCTCTGTATGTTGCACAATAAAAGAAATAACAATGAAGTGTTCATGCATGCATGGTTATTCTCAAAGTTAATAAATAATATATGATTGGTTGGAGAGAAACAATATATACTAAGTGTGATAAAACAACAATGTTCTGTATTCACAAAGTGTCTTTTATAAAAATCAAAAGCTGCTTGGTCTGCAAAGTGCAAAGATGGTGCCAGGTTTATTTGCAGGCCTGCCTATTCGAACAAGGTTTAAACTGGTCATTAGCTGGGTGACTAGTTACCATGTAAAAAAATTAAAGTAAAAAATTAAAATAAAGAATACTGTCCAACAATCTTCAATGGGTTTACCAGCTGGCAACTGATTTGCTGCTAATCCAAGATGGTTTACCAGCTAATGTCCAGTTAGTAACTTGTTTAGAAGCCTAGCTACCATGTACACAGTTAACAACACAGCCCATTTCAACTGTCTTTTATAACACTGCAATCTAGTGGGTGACAGTTGTAATTACACTTGCCTTTTTACTTGCATCACACATTTCCTGTCAGTTATATGAAAGGACATGGCTAGACAAGTTATGGAACCTTAAACTCCTGACACATTCATAACCTGCAAAAGCAGGTTTATTGAAATACTAAACGTGGTAATTTTGCTACACTCAAGCGTGAAGAAAAGAAAAAAGAAACTTTCATTTGGGATTTGGACACTTCATTATGTAGTGTAATTGTACACTCACACACACCGGTATTACAGGACATTTGGACCCAATAATATAGAAAATACCAGAACCACACACACATTTATATAGGGAAGTGTCAGACTGAGGTTCAGAAGTTTAAGGAGTGCACGATCACTTACCAGAACACTCGCAAAAACAGTTCCTGAAGCAAAGGACTTAAGCATTTAAACAGCTGTAAAAGTGATTTTTTTTTCAATTACGTTTTTAAGCTGTCCTTCAGGCAATCATCAATTTAATTTGATCACATGAAGCTTTATTATAATAATAACATTATAATAATTTATGAAACTTTTAAATTAAATTAAATTCCTGACAATAATGCACGTTTCACACACTAACATTCAAAAATAGTTAGCAGTATATACTGTATAGCATGTAGTATGCTAGTATTTCATTCCAAATACACCTGCATTGAGCCTTACACAAACACCACTGCTTTTTTGCCTGCACTTGAGTATTTGATTTGATGTGTTTATACTTTATACATCTCATTTTGCTTGTTTATTTGTTTGTTTTTGTAAATTATTACTTTGGTCTAATGAAATGCAAGTGTTTGTCTTTCATACTGTGGAAATATGGATGTGGATGCCACTTGAACAAACAACATTTTTTTCATCAATCATGAGGCAAAAGCAACTTCTCAACAAGATATTTGAAGGTTTTCACAGATACTGAAGAGGCTGTTGTCAGCTTGCTGTCAACACGGAGCTTCTGTCAAAGCAAATCCAGTTGGCAGTCGACTTGATATGTTTGATGCAACACCTCATTAATATTTACATCTGATTTTAATATTGCCATACATCGCCGCAGCCAACTCTCAATATTTCAATAAATATATTTCAATAATTATAAGCTCATCTCCATCTGAAGGAAATTATCATTGTTAAGAAACAAATAAATACCAAGTCTATGGCGACCGTTGACCTCTTAAATTTCAGATCTTCCTCTTGTTAATGACTGGGGGCTCTATCTCTCATTTACGTTCTGAGATTATGGTGATGTTCTTGAGTTTAGGGAGATCAATTAACTTGCTCTGAGGATGAGGACTGTCAGGTGTACATTGACATTGAAAAAAGTTAAAGCTAAAGTGACGTGTAGCCAAGTATGGTGCCCCAAACTCGGAATTATGCATTTAACCCATCCAAGTGCACACACACAGCCAACTCTCAATATTTCAATAGTTATTAAAGGAGATAAGCTCATCTCAATCTGATAAAAAATTATCTTTGATATTGAACAAATAAATACCAAATTTAGTGTGACCTCAGTTGAGCTCTTAAATTCCTCTTAAAATCCTACAAACTAAATCAATCTTCTTGTGAATGACTGGGGGTTCTATCTCTCATTTTCTGAAGCTCTGAGAGTATTATGTCGTCTTTTTGACTTTGGGGAGATCACTTAACTTGCTCTGAGGACAAGCATTGTTGTGTTTACATTGCGTCTCCTCTATGGTCATTAACCCTGACCCTCATGAGATGAGAGCAGCCTGGGGATAATTAGAGCAGAAATCATTCACACAGACTAGACCTGATTTGTTTGTGTCTCATCATTGCTTTAATAAGACTGACAAATTAGTCACTTTGGCAATGTTGTCTTAATTTAGAGAGAATTAGGTTGTTTGGGGAGTCATTAGGTTGTTTATGAGTGTGTGTTTTTCCCATTGGATTGTAATTTCTTTATACAGTATGTATACAATAGGTGTCCAAGGAGATGGCTGCATTTTGTTCAAAGACTAGACAATGTTCATTATGTTAACGGTTTGTCTGACCAATGGCAGACTGGAAACAGTAGCTCATCTGGAGAAGCTGTATCCACTCAAAACACCACGAATTAAGAGAAGTGGTGAATTCAATAGCCTCTGGACAGTTCAGATCAGCAGAAGCTTTGATTGTGGTGATGTGTTTTACTGTAGCAGCACTGTTTATATATGAATCACTATGATTCTCAAATGAAACAGTGCCTTCAGAAGTCCCATTAATTTAATTTAAACTACTCAGAAATTGCAGCCACAACTTGATATTTTTAAATGTAATTATTGAAAGAAAGAAAACAATATGTTTCAGGATTTATGTTGAAGTTACACTGTTTAACTGTTCAAACTTCTTTGAAGTGATGTCATGCAGTCTCTTTTTTCTCGGTCGTCCTCTATCACATTCATGTCTGGCATCTCCTGAAGCATGCAGGATTGTCCTATGATTTATAGAATTTTAACGTTAAGTATGTATACTGTTATATATGCAATGCCACCCCAACTGCAAAGCACAGTGATGGGCATACTTTTTTTTTTTGTCAGAGGCAGGGACTGGTCATGGAGGGAAAGATGATCGCAGCAAAATACAGAGACATTCTAAATGAAAACCTCGGCCCATATTCACAAAACATTTTATCTTACCACTAAGAGTTCTCC